AGTAAGAATGGGAATATTAACTTCAAATAAAGCAACATTAAAATAAGAAAATAGGAGAGACAGAATTGGAAGAAATTATGGAAAACAAAACTTAGGGTGAAAGGAAATAAGGTGTTCAAGTCTTTTTATAAAAGCAATTTGAAGTATTTATTTCGGCAGTACTGTGTATGGTTAATATTAAGAGTAATAACTCTGCTTCTGACATTTGAGTGGTTTCAGTGCAGTGAATCTTAAAGTAGCCAGAGGAGAATACCCTGGAACTCCCAAGGGTCTAAGTGCTAGAGCACATTCGTATTGTACAGGTTTAAAATATATATTTTGGGGAGCGGGAAAAAGAAATTGTATCTGTGGAAGAAAGGAAGGATTGAATGGTATAGATGTGGGGATTGTATGGATATTTTTAAATATGTTAGGAAACCAGGGATATTCCCCTGAGAGACAGAATAGATGGGGTGGAGTTCATAAAGGGTGGCTTCACATTGTCTGTGAAGTGGCGTGGATCCAATGAATCATGTCTTCTTGTGTTCTAAACCCGAAAACAAAAAAGCTTTGCCTTGCTCCCTGTTAGTCACTGTGCTGCACAATGAAATTACACGTCAAGCACAACAAAAAATAACAGTGTTATGTGAACTGCATAAAACTTGTCACGTACATTGGCGACTTCAATTAGATTTTACTACAAGCAAATCAAATTCTTCCCACACAGTAAAAATATATGCCACAAATAAACTGACTGTTGTGTACTGAGCTGCTACATTTATCTCCCCAACAGAAAGTCCAACGATTTTGTAAAAGCAGCATCTGAATTAAGTCTCAGCAGATACTGTATATTGCAATACTGCATTGTGCATAACCTGGGCGTACTCAAGTGCACTGAGCCTCTGTGTACTACCAACTACAGGACCTCCGCTCACATCCTCAGCATTTATTCAGGGGATTGAAGAGGTTAATGCCTTGTAAGTGCACAAAACGCATATATTTATTGCTGAGTTTTCTAACAAAATTCATCAAAAAAATTCATTGGATAGAAGCCTTGATAAAGAGCCGGAGAGAATCAACAAGTCACCTGAAGAGAAGCAGAGCCTTTATTGCAGATTTTCCACTGAAACGTTCACCTCTGTCATGCAAGCATAATGTGGTTATTCTTGCAAAGGAATTATATTGTTTCTTACAAGGTACTTTCTGACAATGCGATTCTTCAATTCACTGCACATTACCATTTCTGTGAGCAGTTTTAATTAGATTGGTTGCGACCGATCGCCACAGAGCTGCCGTAGAGTATAAAAGACAGCAGTCGGTCAGTTGGTCAGTCGGCTGTATCCAACATAGGTACTGCAACCTAGAAACCAACAAGCGGTCTCTTCATTTCAACCAGAACAAATTGTTACAAATACCTTTGGTTTATGTGCGGTACATTTCCTTTGTAAATTGTTCACTAAGCCACCTTCAGCAGATCATAAAAAGACCTATCCATTCCCTCGAAAATCATCCGTTAATCTCAATCGTACTCGGGAATTTGTCTGTTACAGTCAGCACACAACACCTCTTGGAAGCTTGCTAAAATAGGTTTAAATGAAAGAGTGTAAAATGCCAACTTTTTAAGAGCTCTTACATTAATAAGGTACCTTTTTTAAGCATCAATTTATTTTTCCAAAATAAAGCTCACAAATAGCATAACTTTACTTAAATACAACAGTTTTGTAATTGCAATTGTTTGATCCAATTCGAACAAAAATAGCTACATGTAAAGAATTATTACAATTATAAACCAGGAAAACAATTATAAAAAATGAAAAACCCAAAAGGTAACTAATCCAAAGTAATTTTCAAATAACTGTAGATGCAACTCTGTCAATATACTGTACTTAAAATGCTCAGCTCGATAAGACTGCAGCAAGTGTGGGAATACACAGTATTATCTGAGCAACTATAAATCAATTAAACCATCAAGCAGCAGTTTCAAAGCTCTCTGTGAATTTCCAGCTTGGTTTGCCTCTTCTGGTGTAACCTTTACTTAATTAGTTCAATAGCATAAACCTACAGAGGAGATTGAAGTAAATGTTTTCAGTCTTGCGTTATGTAGAGTTCTTTTTAAAAAAATTACATTTTCAAATTCCACATCAGTTTACATATTTAAAAAAAACACATGTATCCGACAGATGGAACAGGATGAATGCTTTCAACGGAATTAAAAGAATTAACAGAGCTCAATGCGCAGACTAATCCTGAAGCATAACCATACTTCAGCCACAAGTTAAGTGTTATACAGGATTAGGCTCTTCTCTTCAAACACAGCGTCTGTGTGAGTTACGTGCAAAAAATGAACTCCCCTTATGTCCGAGCAAGTGCAATATTAGTACTGTAAAAAAAATCATAATGCTTTGCTATTCGTACATTTCAAACTAACGAAGATAACTTAGCTTTCTCACAGTTGTGATAGTAGCTGAACAGAGTCATTGTGATAAATGGAAATGAACCATGGCTGAAGAACCCTTAACCGAAGCTAAAAGGAGGATTAATTTTCTTGGTAAACAGTTGGATTAATGGTTTCACATGTGTGATATGTCAGAATATTTTTTAAATTGTCCAATTACCAAATCAGCGTATTGTGATACATCACTGCCTTCCAGAAAATCAGCAACATCCTCTTTCTACAAGAGTTAATCCAATCCTATCCAGGGTTTATTAGAACTACAGTTTTTAATCACGCTAAACACAGATTTCTGTGTACATATTTTCATTCCCTAACAATTGTTTTCCACCCCACAGTAGCTTTCACTTCGCTGTATCAGATGTAACGGTTAAATGTAACTTTACAAATGACATTCAACAACTGCAACTTCTAACCAGTCAGTGTCAAACTCAAAATGCTCACCTCTTTAAATGTGCAGATCAACCTGCTGGGGATTTGCAGGTTTTAGTTCAAATTTCCAGTGTGTGCTTGTTTTTTTTGTGTTTTTCTTTTACTCCTGCAATCCTCACCAGTTAGTTTCACAGCAATCGAAAGCTTTGGTGTCGGGAAAAAGAACCGCTTGGTATTTTCAAAGAAATAAGACAATGAATTAACACTTCTTTTAGAATTGGGCAAAACCCTGACAGCATCTACTTTCCCACAAGAAAAATAAATCAATAAAGCCCTTGATACACATACTGTTCCTCAAACCGAGTATGGGGAATTTTTTCTTTTGCTTATAAAAAAAGTTGAAGCACTGAAACACCATGAGAAATTTTACAAATGTAAGCTGAACTTAATCAGGTTTACTTGTTAAATGAAAGAAGCCAAATTGCAACTATAGACAGTCTTCCACCCACCCTCCACAACAAACAATCTCAATCAAGCTGCGTTATAAATTGACTGTAGGTGTCTAATGTTAAGCACACTCGTCTCACCACGGTCTCCTGCAGTCATTTACACACTCACAATCCTTTCGAGAGAGAAAACAAAACAATGCCTGGTATTTTTAACACTCGTCTAAGAATCTTTTCTCTGCAGCAAAATGTGAGTTGTACTTTAATAGGAGAACGAGTAAGAATCAGATTCCAAAGTCTGAAAATGCAGCCCTGCCTACAAGCACAGCAAGCATTAATCTAACCCCGTACAGGAGCTCCGTAGTTTTGAGGCACTCGGCTACAGAATTAAATCAGACAGGAAAACCTTCCTCAGTTTACACACTACCATACCTGTTATTGCAATGAAAACAGAAGTCAGGTTCTCAAAACAATCCAAAGCCTTGAAGGGGAGGGGAGGGGGGAATCTGATTTCAGACACTGAAGAGCCCAGTCTGTGGTGTTCCGTTCCCTCTACAAGACTAATAATGAGACACTCCTATGGTAACCTCTCACTTGCTGCCCCGTGAATGAAGCAGATATTCAAGAAGTCAGCAAACATTTTGCCAACTCATGAGATGGCCTCAGATTGCAAGGGACTGACACTGACGGTGGCTCTTAAAACTGAACCTGATGTTTAACAGGTATGGATCCCTCAACGCAACAGTAACATTTCGGACAACCAGAATTTGCTAGAAGGTTATTGCTATTTGCTCACAAACAAGCAATCAAAGATGGAGAAGGCTGGTTCTTTGCCAGACAAACTAAACTGTAGCAAATTATCTCACTTCAGCGGCAGAAATTGTTCAAAACCAATTTAAGAGCTGATTTGTTTTAAAACATAGATGCACAAATAAATTAAATTATTTTTTATTAAACACTTCAGTTTTAATTTTTAGGCCTGCTATGCTTTCTGTGATGATTTGTAATTTATTCTTTCCTCTGTAGTTCTTGACTTCCTTCTAACAAATTGCCATGAAACTCCGTTACAGATAAAGAGAGCACAAAAAACAGGTTGTTTTGCTCATTACTTTCCACTGAGCACTGAATCAGCAAGAACCATTCTAGAACTCAGCTTTACTGAATAATGTACTAGACTGCCTCCCGACAATAAAATAAAATCCACCTTTTCAAAGAACATTAGCTGTAAGCCATAATTCCTTCCAATACAAAACAGAAAAAAATCATCAAAATGAACGCACTGAAAAGCATAGCTCATGGACTCTGATTCTGAATGTGTCAAGTAAAAATGTCATTGTACGGCTAACTTAAAAAAAAGATCTGTAACTCAGCAGCAGCAGGAAGCTCCTGACGTACAAATACTGTAACTTATCTGTATAACACAAGCTTGTCTTTCATTAAGAAACCGCATGGAAGCGTATACTGAAGAACACCAGCAACCTCACAATAACTTTTCAGTTCCCCAGAAGTGAATTGACAAAGCGCTTAAGCCATTTTCTTTACTGAATTAAAGAAACTGACAATTAATATCGTAGCTCTTGGAATGACAATGGCGATATTTCATCTACTTCAACTTGAATTCCCCTAACATAACATAATTAATTCTTCTCAGGTATGGTGTTAATTATACGGCATTAAGAAAAGAACACACAGAACAATAGTCTCACTGTTTTAATGAAAACAAAATGAAACGATATAACGTAAGATCTTACCAGAAAGGCCTAAGAGGTCTCCAGTTAAAACTTTGACACTTTCATTTTGCTTTCACCTCTGCAACGAAGATACTGAATCTGCCTTTTTTTCTTTCTTCCTTTCGTTCGTAACTCAGTCGGTCACCAGCTTAAAGTTGCAGATATGGAGCGGTTTCTGAACTCAACAGCAATTATTTTCCCAAAGGTATTTTTAAAAAAAAATTTACTCTGAACAATTTCTTCTTTTTTAAAGCTGTGGCTGAGTTCCGAAGTTCAGCACTGTTGATTTAAGTTTACCATGAGGATAGTCGGAATAGTAAACAAGTTTCAGGCTGACCAATAGCTTTCCACACTCTTCTGTTTATAGCAAGCTGACTTACACTCAGAGGTCACCTCGTCAACAGCTCCTGTCTTTCACTGGATCTATAATGTGCTGCATTTATCCAGGGCTCATTTGGTGAAGCCACAACCCCAGCCTGTGCTAGCCTGCTGTCACTTTGTGACGCATCTGCTCTCTGGCATGTGAGGTTCCATTAACAGACGGGAATTCTGAATGTTTTTCCCAAGAATGTAACACAGCTTACTTACACAGAGCCAGTGAAAAATTGGAAAGACATAATATGAAATTCAACATCTCCCTTTCGATTCAGCCCTATTAACATCTAATTTTCTTTGCTATTCTTTTTTTCCCTTAAAGAAGGCGAGCTCCATTTTGTAATTTCGTAATCTCGAATCATTTATAAATTGTAGAAAACACCTAAAATAATGTCATGCTCTTTAAGCTTTCACAAATAGCAAGGCTAAATGTAAGCTGGACGACTAAATCAATGGATTAATTTCACTGTTTTAAGAAAAAATGACACGTTGAGTTTTAGAAGAAATTGGGATTCTGTTGTTAGATTCGCGCAAGAAAAACTGTCAAATGACAAAAGGAGCAATAAGCTTTCTTCAAATGGTAGTTTCAAAAGATCACTCGCAATTTAAGAGCAAAAAGCAATCAGAAATGAAGTATACCAGAGGTGCTCATCTGACAGAGCTGCCAGGTTCCATGATGCTAACAGAGCATTTATTAACAATCTTGTGGGATGGAATGGGTACAAATATCATAGTTAATCAACCCAAGAGAAAAATCACCATCCACTGACCAAACAAAGGAGAGACGGGACTGAAGGTGGCACCCTTCCTCCATCTGAGAGATCACGGAGATAGCTGTCATGACGGGGCTTTGAGTGAAGGTTACACCTGCAGCACATTTTTGGTTCACTTTTGTCACCACTGCAATGTTTAAGTGACGGAAAGTGGCCAAGCTCTATTAAAGCTAATAACATATGATTGATGTCGTGGGTTAGGAAGCCGTGTCAGTACAGATTAGAACATCTGTGCCGTCACTTTGACAACTCAAGCACTTTATTATTAGAAAGGATCTTGGGAGGCTGAAAAAACTTAAAATGTGCCGCAGATTTTTTTTCCCCAAAAAAACACCACATAACATATTCAACCACAAGAGTGGCGAGGATAACTTTTTGCTGAATTAAGCAAAGATTTAAACTTGGTTAACTAAAATGTTTATTCCATGGTTATTTCTGTTACACATCAGCCTATCCCCCAGCAATAAAACTAATTTCACACTGCAGAAATTGAAACAATAGATTCAGTGTACAACGCTTAAGTGTGAGCTAGGTTCCAACCTGGCGGAACCACAGTCTGTTTTAAAGGTATTCCCACATGTTTATGTGTAAAGAATCAACTCCGTGCAAGGATAGATTTAGACACAATTGTCTGACTGATTTGTGGCACACCACTTACATTAAAGGTGCTGACCATAGCAACAAATAAAAGCTGATACAATATAAGAAAGGGAGAAGAGAGGAAAAAACACCAGTACATCACCTGTGAGCAAAAGGCGAGTTCACATGCAGCACATGCCATTCAATTAGTTTTACAGCAAACCCCAGCATTGAAAGAGGCAGCAAACAAGCACTGCTCCAGCCAGGACTGGTGGGCAAATCTGCAAACTGTGTTGTGAAAACACAGTTCTACAGTCACCCGTCTGCAGAAAGAAGCATTTTTGTCTGAGAGCGCCGATCCCTTCAGGAAATACCTAGACTACTAAAAAAAAATTAGAATGCTATTAGCGTCAGCCCTTGTCATATTTCTTCAACAGCACACAGGTAAACATCAGTGCTGGCCAAGTACTCAAAGATACTGCCAGAAACCTAATGGAATACAGGCAAAACTAAGACATTTATGGAATTTCCTTGCATTTAGCCAAATGTCTATTTCCACTTCTAGTGGTGCTGTGCTTGGTTTAAGCACCATCCATTTTACTCCCTTCACCCACCCCACTCCTCCACACAGACTCCTCTCCCTGAATGAGAGTTAAAGTCTATCTTGCTGTCCTTGCTTTGAAGCTGCGTGAAACTTGGCAGACATATGACACATCTTAAAAAGGATGAATAGTTCAAATTTACTGATTTGTTAAAATATTTACTGTCCACCATTCATTTGGCTCAGCAAAATGACACAATTATAAATAATAATAATTCTTGAATTTGATATAGCGCTTTTCACATCTTCTAGACGTCTCAAAATGCTTCACAGAATATGCTGTAAAATGAATTGACCGTATATTTGTGGGCGAAACGCGGCAGCCAATTACGCACAACAGCGTCCCACAAACAGTCGTGGATTGAAAATGACCAATTTGTTATTGTGTTTTTTTTTGAGGGATTATTATTAGGTGTGTGGAGTAAGGAAACTTGCCCAAGGTTTCGCACTGCCTGGAATTGAACCCAGGTGTCTCGCTTGCAAGACGAGAGCTCTAACCACTGAGCTACAGGACTCCAATGGTTGGATGTGAGTCTTAAAACAGAGATTTTCTGGCATTCTGGGTAACATGAAACATTAAATGAAGAGAGAGCCAAGTGAAGCAAAACAAAACTTAATTTCCTCTCAAGTTAAATAATGTATTTTCAACATCTATCCTGTCAAACAGCAGCATTCTGGAATTGTGACTGTTTTTTTAAGATGTCCAAGTACATTGAAATGAGATTATTCCTTACGAACAAAATTAATTGTTAAGGTCCTCGAAAGGGTATTCCAGATTAGATTAAACTAAAGTAAATGAACTCTATGTTGGTACGTCTTTCTGACTGCACATTTAATAGTGGATCAAATGGTTTTACTGTCCATTTTAAGGAAGAAACTTTAAAACTAAAATCTAAAGGATAGATTTGAAACATGGAACTGCCAAAGAGTTTTCAAATAAACGTTTGGGAGCACAAATCGTACCTACACTTATATTCTATTTGCACATGTTTAAAAGATTTGTCAGTGTTCGTCCAGTCACAAGATGTGTGCTTGCTGATCAGTCCTGAAGATGGCGCTATAAGCACTATCTCAGGAGTGCTGTCTGCTACTTTTAAGGATGTTATTTTTCTTTTATTTCCTCTCAACATTTTTCACTCCAGGATCAGTCAAGCTCTTTCGCAACCACATGGTAGAATGGATGAGGATAATGCGCATCCTTTAAACATGACCACATTTCATTCAGAAGTGAGAAAGTCGCAGACCTTCATTTTGTCTTGTCAAAAGTTTATTTTTCCCAGGCTCCCGCAAAACCAGTCATCAACAGTCAATATAAACAACGGATCACGAGTGTCACAACTATTCCTTAAATTTGCATTTTTAAAAAGAGTATATAATTGTTACCATGGTTACTACTGCAAGGCACGGTAACGTATTCTCCCTGGAGACTTTCAGCAAACAAGCAAACCACCTTCCTGACGGGGAGTAATATGACCCATAGCCTGACTCATGTCCTACTGTATAGGGAAATACAGCAAAGACTGCATTTAATTTGTTCTCTACTCCCACTCCCACCAATAAAAGAGAGTAATCTCATAAAAGAAATAAAGTTAAATAAAAGGGATTTTAGTGGCTGTTGCAGGCCATGCCTTTGGAAGCAGAACAGACAGAATCTTTCATTTATTATTCACAGTGTCTTGCACCTGTGTCAGTGCCTGATAAATAATTTAAATTAATCTCATTACGGAAGATTTCATTACAGGATAATTTAATTAAATGATGAATTGTCCCCCAGATGTCAATGTGTGCACCATCGGTTAAATGATGCTGATGATGACATAGGGATTTGCAAGGTTTCAATCCAGATCAGGGGTATGTGTATTATTTAACATGCTCTGTCTCACAAGCTCCCTAAAAAGGTGCTTCCTTTGAAAGGTCATCTGCACTCTTTGTTATGGCTTTTACGGAATTTTTTACGGAATTAAAATAATCCTTACAAAGACCTGAAAAAACAGAACAATATTGCTCTCAAATGCACATGCATCAGGCATGATGGAAGCAAATCTGTAAGCCCATCTGGAAATCCTTCGAAAAAATATATTCTTCCTTTTGAAATGAATGGAGACAGAAATTTTGGGTATCTTTCGAAGGAATGAAGGGGTAAAAAGCCTTTTTCAAATTATGGACATCATCACAACTGAGTTGTAATATTTTTGCTTTGGTTTGTACAAAACAATTTAGATTTATGGAGCGTGTTTCATGTGGGAGAATGACTCAAAACGCTGAGGGGTTTGGGGAGGGGCAAGATGACTAAAAATGCAGTAAATAAGTACGTCTTGAGGTGGGCCTAAACTGTTTTGTCAGTGGTGAGATTTTAACTCAATTCTCCAGAGGAGACAGCGACCTGAAAGCAGCATCTTAGACCTCTCAGCTATCCATTGGTGCTTATGCAACATTATATGCCTTTTACACTGTTGCTAGAAATATGATCATTTTGGTTACTGAAAGGCCTCAATTTGTAAAAACTTTTTACTGAGCTGCGATGGCCATGGCCTGGCCATAAATTAAGATAAATTCAATAAAGAAAAAATTATTTAGGTGTCTGACGAAAAAGGTTGGCCACCACCGTTTTAACCAAATCCAGAGTCTGGTGGAAAGAAATCACTTATCAGTTCTGGTTGAGACCTAATTAAATCTTTAGCTTGCTGAGGCCACCCAGATAATGCTCAAATATAATGTACGCTAGTTGCCAGTTTGTCCAATTACTCTAGGAACAAATGGAATGATAAGAGAAATTGCTTATGAAGTTTGGATGAAAAAAAATCCAATTTACAGTTGAGTTAGTCAGGCATGTAAACCATATCCCAGAAGACAATGGATAATCCAATGAACAGCTCCTTGTATTGTCTTTTTTTCTGAAGCAACCCGTGACTGGACGAGCAGAGGAAATTGCTGGTCAAGTTTATCAATAAAACTGCTTAATTGGTTTAAGAATGATTCTAAAGCAATGTCTGACTTCGTAAAGATATGTTAATAGACTGTGTGGATAGTTCTGGAGAGGAACAGAACTGTTTAAGTGGAATTAGAATCAACAGAAGCATTTCAGAAATCAGCAAGGTGACACATCATTCCTACATATGTAGCTG